ATTACTCTACCGTAGGTCATTAAAAAAAACCCTGCCTATAAATATTTCTATATACACGTGTTCTATGTATTATAATTATATGGTCAGTTTATGCGCCATTGGACATTGAATGGATGCATAATGATGATCGTGATCATGATCATCATCATCATCAGACGACGCCGACTATTCATGAGGACATTTATCTGCTTATTTTTGTTTGTTTGTTTGTTTGTAAATTTCATTTGTCAAGGTCAGCGATTGTCAGTGTCCTTTTTATTTGTTTGTCCTTATTTGTCATGCCATTTTTGAAACAAAAAATGTAAATTGTTGAAAATATGCATGCTGAATGGAATGAATGAGCATAAGGCTTTAAGATTTAAAGTTTCCTAAGCGATGGTGTTATTGTCCAGCTACACCTAGCTAACACTGTTCTATGTGGTAAGGCAGCGGTGCTGGATATGCTCAACCTATGTTGTTCTAGTCATCTCGATGGATGTCACTTCACAACCTCCTTGCTTAACACTGGACGCCTAACCTCAATATTACTTAGCATATTATATCACTTATCACGGGAAATCAAACTCAGACACTTATGAAATAAGATAGCTAGCTACCACCCAGCCAGCCAGCCAGTCAAACTTTTCTTATAGTCCACTTTTAATGACCATGTTTCACAGCCATAATGGACAGACTGGTCGGCTGCTCAGTACACACATCTTTTGAACGAATCCGTGCTGAGATCTCGACAGAAATCAGTCTATATTAGGGCTAATACAGCCTCCCGAAAAAGTGAAGCTATTACCACGCTCAATCACTTCACTCTGTATCTTTATACTAAGAGTTGATACCAATCAGTCTGCTAGCGTCATCCTATGTCTAATAGAGGTGAACCACATGTCAAATATGTCAAGATTTCTGCTTAGAGTGCTCAGAAGACTCTGCATTTTCAAGTGTTGGTTTATAGGGATTTGATTGGTTACAGGATTTCATCATGAGCTGACATTGGTTAGAGAACCATTGGATAACCTGAGAGTACTGGACAGTTGTTTCATCCTAGTCTGAGACTCTTCAACAGTACGCGAGAGGTCACGCTATCTCGTGAATTGGCAGAAGTTAGTTTTCATGATCCATTGGATCGGGTCTCAGTGGCTTAATGGTCTACGAGCTAGCTCGCGTTGTAACCAGTAGGTCCTGGGTTCGAACCCCCCCTATGATGGGTGCGTACTGCCGAAGAGTCCGAAACCAGGCTGACGTAACAGCTGCCCAGTACTCCCTGGTTGGTTTTCCAATGGTTCTCTAACCAATGTCAGCTCATAATGAAATCCTGTAACTCTGAATTTGGTTAATATCTTCACTGAGAAGGGCAACATCATCTGCATACTATGAATTGACGAGACTGTGACTGAATTACCAACATAGAGCTTTACACAATGTGTATACACACATTTCACAGAAGGTTCACAAAAGTACACATACAGGTGATCCATTGAAGTAAAGCTCTGTTGACACATGGTCATACCGTCATATATATATATATATATATATATATATAGTCTAGCTTTCTGTGACCATAGCTATCTGATTTCCATGTCTCATGCTAAGTGGTTTAATAATGATCAGGGATACTGAGGTTAAGCGTAGAGTAGTATTCAATAGAGAACATACAACAAGAGCAATGTTAACTGAAATTAGATTAGATTGAAAGGAAGTGCATGATAGTTGGCCAAATTAAAACCTGACATCACTCTATGAAGTCTTTAACTATTGGTTTCAGAGGTTTAGATTGTGTGGTTCGTGTCGTAGAGAGGTTAGGAACCAATGGTTGTGGACTGTTGATGAAATGGCTCAAAATTGTTTTCAATAATGCATCAGATGCATTCACTCTTGAACTCCTTGGGGTATGGAGTCCCTCATTATCCTCTTTGTATTTATTCTCTCTCCTATGTATTTCCATTCGTTTTATAGTTCCTTTGGAATGTTTTCCTTACATTGTTTTGCTGGGTATAAAAATTGTCAATTTGGACTGCTGCACTTTTGCACCTGGCCGATAACACTGCTACCTTACCACAATGGTTGAACTTGCATTCTGCAGTGACCCAACAAGCTCTACCATGCCAGGAAGGTTGTTAAGATAGAGGTTAGACTAAATGCAGTTGCCATTGCCTACGTGGGCTCCAAAATCCAAACGGATAGAATAGCGTGTGAATTTGTACTGGTTACCAGCATCCATGGGAACGTAGCTCCTGACTCTGCTGCTTTCCTGCTTTACGTTGAGACTCCGAATCAAAGGCTTTGAGATGGAGGCCTGGTCCAGCATCGGTCTAGGACCTTGGGTAGTCTTCCAACCGTCTCACTAACAATGAAGCAACAAATCATGAGAGAATTGGATCACACGCTGTACTTTTCTGCAAAGTTTTACGTTGAAATTGGAATGGTTGACCTAGTCCATTAAACTACTAAATATTCTTAAACTAAATAGTAGTAGAGATTAATTTTTGATTGATCCTAAACACCAATATCCTGATCCCTTTACTCAGGTGTTATTCAGTTTATTCCACATTACGTCAGGTTTTCCAAACATATTTCCTCTTACAATTAGCGCTGTTGTCGCCGAATTATTTTGCGACGGGAGCATTTAACCAAATGACTTTAATGGCACTAACTCAAATTGTAACGACAGAAGACAAGAGTCGTCAGGCAACGGATCATTTATTGAGAAAATCAAGAAGTAATTATATATTTTTATGTACATTATTATCAGCGTTATTGTTAGCAGAGAAGCAACGCCTTCTGATTGGTTGTTTTCCTGCTGAAGGTTATTCTGTCATCTCTTTGTGGGCGTTTCTTAGATACTCCAGTGATATATCTACGAATCGTATCCGCCCACGCTGAGTCTGCGGTGATTAGTTGTCGAGTTCCTCAAGGTTAGGCTTTGTTCTTGTTTTCTTCCCATGACCTCGATTTTGGACGTAAACATTGACGTGAATTACTGTCTACCAATTTTGTCAAATCGAGAATCGGGAAGGCGAGAAACACATTCATCAACCTGAAACCAATCTGGAAATCTTCGTCAGTCAGCCTGCATCAACAACAAAATTCGGTCGGATTTCCAATACAAACGTCAAGTCAGTCAGTCCTTCTATACGGATCAGAAACTTAGAGGGTCACAAAGAATATATCCAACAGCCTGTTGCAGACCTTTATCAAGAACTGTCTTCGCTGGATCTATACTGAAGATCAGATGGCCGGGTCGGAAAGAGTCACCAACAAGAAACTATGGCTGGGAACAAACAAAACAAGAACCAATCGCTCGCTCAACAAATATGCAGGAGAAAGTGAAGAGATGGATTGGACACTCGCTGAGGAGGCCGGGCCGCTGGGTGACATCGCGCGCGCTTCAGGCCATTGTTCGAGTGGTACCCGAAAGGGAAGCGGCGAGTGGGACGTCAGTGCAAGGGTGACATGGAGAAGATCGTGTAAAGAGGAGTTGAAACAGTATGGACTAACTAACATGGATGCAGGTGAAAAGTACAGCAGAAGCAAGTGGAGACGTACAGTCGAAGCCCTTTGCTCCACTAGGAACTCAAGGGAACAATAATAATTTTGTCTTACAGACAGCTCTCACCACAAAATTATCGTATTCCCGTCATTGATTAGAATTCCCCTCATTGACTACCCTCCATCTGAGCATAACTTATTGGCAGTATACTCGGTTAACTGCCTGTCAATCTCTCAGTATGCTCAACAGTTAAGGGAGGGGGGGTGCGTGACAACAAACAACGTTTGTCACCAGTCAGTAAGAACGACTCTGTGTAGGTTATACTCGGTGGTTACTGACTCTCGCATTTCCAGGATATTGTTCGCCTACCTACTATTTCATTTCAGAAGATATTTTTTTCAAGAATTAGTTTGTAAGGTTTCTATTTGTTTCAGGTTAGACCACGGATTGGTATCAATTAGATAGCCATTGAAAGCCAGAGATTACTGGACAGCTGTTTTATCCCCCTAGTTTGGGCCTCATCGGCAGTACGCACTGACTGGGTTTCGAACCCAGTACTTTCCTGTTACAAGGCTAGCGAGCTTGTATACCATTCAACCACTGGAACCTGATTTAATGGCCAACCAATAAAATCTAACTTCTACTAATTCCTAACCCAGTGATTGGTGATGAGTCCCGAACTGGAAGGAAACAGCTGCCCGCTACTCCCTGGCTTTCAATGATTGTGCAAGAGTTTGGATACTTCCTAGAAGCCTTAAGGAAATACTCTCGTTATTTCAGTTTAAAGTCTGTTCCATAAGACAGTAGAGTAGCGTCAGTCAGAAACCGCGTTCTTTTGATTCATGTTGACCAAAACAGTTGCGATCCTGTGGTCCATGTGTTGTGAGAACTGGCTGCTAGCCGAAATTGGTAGACAGTAATTTGCGTCAATGTTTACGTCCCCAATATTGCTCATAGAAAAATAAGAACATAGACTGACTCAACAACCAATCGCAGCAGACTTGCGTTGGCGGATACAATTTGCAGATGGATAATCTGAACTTCAATAAACGGCCACAAAGTGATGAAAGATTAACGCTCAGCGAGAAACCACCGATCAGAAGACGGTGTTTTTCGCTCACAATAATCTATAATAATGTACATGGAAATCTATAAATATGTGTTGATTTCCTTAATAAACGATCTTTTGCCTGACCCTTGTCTTCTGTTGTTACACATGTACACTACAGGTGTTGAGAATCAGGGTTTTATAGTTCTCTTCGGTTGTTAAATTCCACATGTTCGTATTCATCTTTTCACTTATGTGAGGAACATCCCTGCTGCGTGATGGTTGTGAATAGGACTTAACTAATAAAGGCTATGAGTGCGTGTCTACATTTAAAGCATTCCGAAAGGAAAATCGAAGTCTACCCCCGTTCCCTCGGCCGTACCAGATCGTTTAATGCGAACACTGCTCAGCATTACGTTGAAGTAATTAAGTTAACTGTTTTTTATTTGTTTAATTTTCTTTTTTATATAGGTGCACCATTTCCTCGTGATTTTTTAAATGTTGTCAAGGTTATTCTGAAGCGGTTATTTCGTGTTTATGCACATATTTATTATCAGCATTTCTCTGAAGTTCGTGATCTACAAGAAGAAGCTCATTTAAATACAAGTTTTAAACATTTTATATTTTTTGTATTGGTAGGTATACAGTAATTGATGTTCTTTTAGTATTCTCTGTTTTATCAAATATGATGTGTTTCTCAGCATGAATGTTATTGCACACATGCATCTCCAAATAAATAAATGTGGTCATTCCAGGTTTGATTACGTACTGACGTCGGTTAGAGGAACATTGAAAACCAGGAGGGGGTAGTTCTGCAGGACTGTTTCGTCCTTGTTTGGGTCTCTTCAGAGGCACATCCCACACCTCCATCTACTGAGGGTCGAACCCAGAACCTTCAGGTGATGAGGTGAGCTCATTGACTATTTATCGGCTACTGGGATGCGGATGACTTTGGCCAATCAATTAGCGATTTTAACGGAACTGCTATTCTCTGTCATTACTGAGTATTTCGATTCACACCTTAACTAGTGGACTACACTGCTTCTCACTTCTCGTCATTAGAAATCCAGGCAAATTCGTCGTGTAACCAGTCACTAGTGAGCATGAGATTAAGTTAATTTGATTGATTTCAAATCTGATCATGGGTTGATATGAGTTTGTGAACCATTGAAAACCGCCAGAGAGTACTGATTATCTGTGGTCATCTAAGTTTGCTACTCTTGGGCGGTGTGTGCGCGTGTATATACACATAGGGCTATGAGGTGTGCACCCCATGACGCCACCGTACATATCGAATCCAGGATCTTCAGGATACGGTGGGTGGGGGGGGGGTTCGTTTACCTAACTGTTCAGCCAATAGGTAGTCATTTCCTCTGTGCATTTGGTGATTCAGTCGTAGAATACTCGCTAGTTACGCTGGTCTGTTTGGATTCGATTCTCAACCGATGCACACCTTAATCTCTCTTGATTTACTAGCCAGTGTAAGTAGGACCAGAAAAAAGGAAGATTGAGTGTGAGGATGGCTGCACCAAGTGAAAATGATACCATCTCTACTGAAATTCCTATGCTCCATTGATGATAAACTTGGGCTGGAATGGTTTCAACGTAGAACTTTGCACTGATGTGCAGCAGTTCGAGTTGCCACACTCCCTCCATGTGGTACACAAATCAAGAGAATAGATTAAAGAGAGATTCAATACAGAGAAAGATAATACACAGAAGTGTGAGACAAAAGGAATAGTAATATCGAAGAACCATATAGTCTTGTTGGATATTGCAAAGAGTGAATGTATCTACGCCATTGAGAACGATTTTGAGTCCTATAGCCAACTGTCTCCACCTTTCATTGGTTTTTACCATGTTGACTGGATGGCTTAAACTAACTGTTGTGGTGGATTTTATTGATTGATGAAGCCATGTTTTGGTTGCACACCACCACTAGCTTTCTATTTTCCAACCTGATCCATTCTATGTCATTCAGCTAATATCCCTCCTGTCGTAAAGGAAGGTGATGGCTAGGATAGGAATGCGTAAAACATGGCCTAACCATCTCAATCGATGTAACTTCACAACCTCGTCGATTGATTTCCCCTCCCACCCACCTAGCAATCGACCGATGCCTAACTTCAATATTGCTCACCCTATTATCCCACTTAACATGGGAGACATCAAAGAGAGCTAGCCCTTTCATATCTTCCACTTTCAATGGCCAAGTCTCACAGCCATATAGGAGGGAGTGTCCTCACTTGAGGACATAATGCTGGGAGTGCAGCTTTACCTAACTTCTACAGTATTTAAATTCCAAGGGAAAATATACAAACAAACTGAGGGAGTTGCCATGGGATCACCAATATCCCAGTTGTACCAGATATATTCATGGATATATGGGAAAAGATAGCGATTGGAACGTTCACCCTCACCCCACGTCGAAGTATGGTGGAGGTATGTAGATGACACATTCACTGTACTTAGAACACAAGATATAGATAGTTTTTTCGAACAGATCAACTCGAAGGTAGAGGCAATTCAATTCACTTATGAATTAGAAAGTCAAGAAGAGGAGCTTCCAATGTTAGATTACGGAGTAAAAAGGAAAGAAGATGGAAAGTTAAACACTAGTGAGTGTTTACAGAAAACCCACACATTCAAACAGATATTTGGACTTCTGATCATCCCACCCAATCTATGTCAGTAAAAATAGGATTGGTGAAATATTTAAGTGACAGAGCACAAAAACTAAGTAGTACCAAGGAAAATCTAAGATAGGAAATGATACACATAAAAGAAGTCTTGAAACTTAATAATTACCTGGATAAATTAGTCCGGAAATATGTAAGAAAATGTAAAAATAAAATATATAATTATAATAGTGATAATAATAATAATAATAATAATTGTAATAATAATAGTGATAATAATGTTAAAAATATATAATGGCGACACCAACAATAAGAAATCTAAATCATCAGTAGTAATTCCATACAAGGAAGGAACCTTGGAAACCACCTTACGCAGAATTCTTAACAAGGCAGGAATAAAAGTGGCTGCCATTCAAACCCCACAAACTCAATTAGAAACAAGCTTTGTCGGTAAAGGGAGGATCCTGTGGAGCCTTTAAAACAGAACAATTTAGTTTATCTAATACCCTGCTGGAATGATTGTCAGCTCAAATACATAGGTCAAACTAGTAGAACAGGGGCAGTCAGACTAGCCGAACATAAAAACCTATCAAAATCTAGATTGATTGACCCGAATAAGATAAGAAATCTAGAGAATAGTTCAGCCATAGCACTACATGCAATCGCACACAACCATACAATAGGATGGATGGGATAGGATGACAGTTTTAAAATCTAATGTCACAGGGTGGAGGGAGAGATTGATAACAGAAGCTTTGTTGATCGAATCAACGGCAAATACATGTAATAGAAACGATTCCACACCTGTCCACCCAGATATCTGGAAAATTCTACCGCCCATACAACGAATAGGAGAGGACAAAGAAAACTATAAAACTAAAATCTCAAAGTCGTGTGACCACAATTGATATGATTATGAACAATAAATTGTATTCGAAACGTCATCCAGTATACAATACTATTTCACTGTGTGATACATGTAATATACAAACTAATATGGAATTACTTACTACTACAGTGTCCATGTTTTACACATATATTAACATGGCATATGTGAAACGAGCGAAACCAGACCAAGGATGAGGAATAGACTTGAGTTTAAGAAATTATACACACACACAATTGAATATGTGAATACTTTCTAGTGTTCAAGTCCTGTTAACTGTATCCATGTCACTGGAGAGATGGGGTGACAATAGTCATGACAATGTTATGGATGTCAAGGCTAAAAGCATTTCAGCTTTCATCAATTTCGTGTTGTGTTTTCATTCACAGTTGTTGGAGTTCATCTGATGTTGATTTTGTCTTCTTCCGTCCTTGCATCTTTTGATTGGCGTGAAATGGTTTGTGGGCGGCAACTATAGCGAACGGGTTTTTTAACAGTCTTGGAGTGATTTCAAACATGTTCTTTATGTATAGTTTAAGACGACAAATACTTGCCGAAGACATTGGCTAGCGATCGCGCTATATATGTGCGTAGGTGCCACAGCGGTTAGGACGCTCGCCGATCATGCACGTGGTCCGGGACTCGATCGCCTGCCGACGCACACCTGATATCCATGGTCAGCCTGCAAAATTTGGGCTACCGATATCACATGCTGAAAATTCCATACTTGTACCGAAAAATACAGTGTGGAATCAAGCTGTAATGAAAAAAAAATATAAAAATCATGAATTTGCAGAAGGTAGAATTCATGGGTTAACCATTGGACCGATTTTTAGTTTATGCTTTCATTGGATAACTTTGAGTTGTGGATCATCTGTAGACTAGATTTAGTTTTCGTTGAATTTCCTTTCATCTATTCGATCTATGTTAGGTTAGCCATCTCAGACATGTATATATGTGAATATTTAGCTTCTGTTTTAGACCCCCTCCACTATTCGCATATTAAGTCATCCAGCAAGGTTCCTCCTTTCTGACACTATTCTGAGAGTATATGTATATGCAAACAACTTTGTGTCCCTTCTTATCCCCATCAGTAGTAGTTTATTATGCAAAGCTGGATTAGATTTTATGTTGTTTAAATTTCTACTCGATGTGTTTACATAACCTTCAGCAAGGTGTGTGGCTAAGGTCTAAGACTCCTTTCACTCCTCGTTCATCAGTTAAGAGTATACGCATATGTGCTACTCCTTCCAAGTGATTAATGACAGATTTTTCCGGATTCTGTGAAAACCATGAAAGAATTTCAGGTGGTTTCAGGCTTCTTGTTAGTCGTGAATTGGCATCGTTGCAACGTTTTTTTTATATGACACTAGACACATAACCCTGAAATGTTTGTCGTTCATCATCGGATAGTTCACAATAAAGCATGGGTTCTTTATGATATGTTTCTCCTAAGTTCGAGTATGTGTGAGCGGATGGCGTCGATGTGATCCATTGTATGACGCTTTAGTATCTTTGAATTAGGGTAAATATGATTCCAATGGAGATTCTTCCAGTAATGTTTTGGATATTCATGCTTATCGGTGCATCGTTTCAGAAAATTAAGCTCCGTGTTAACTTTAGCATGCTTGACAGAAAAACGCAGGAATTTGTCGAATTCCTTTACTGTCACAGGGTCTTTGGAGTTCTTCAATGAATGAAATATTCTCATATTGAGTCATAAGAAAAAGGCACAAACAGTTATTATTTATTTATTTATTCGTATTTATTTGTATGACTCTTGAATACACTAGCATTGAAAATCTGTAGTACACCTCAGTTGAAGTGCTGAGCCTCGCTTAGGGACGAAACCCACATCCTTAGGTTTTAAAAATCTGTCTACTTGAACGCAGGATATTCTTTTCAATAATTTCTCCTCTTCAGGTTCTTACAATTATTAAAATATAAAATTTGTTGTCGTTACAATAACTATAGCCAGTTATGCAGCGGATACATTTTTAACGTAGAATAACAGATTAGTTGTTATGGGGTGTCTAAATAAATAGTCGTATTTGTGTGACAAACATGCTAGTAGGCTGAAATCGATTACAAAATATTTTGGTGAAATGGGAGACAATGGTGGTGATTAGTCGTCATAACAGATTTGTAGAGTGTGGGGTAGGAAAATTGACAAGTCAGTTCAAGGTTATAAAAGGTGTCAGGTGAGTGAGTGGCTAGTACAAAGTGGTCTGTGTTAAACAGGAGATAGTAAGACTGCAATGAGAGGTCCATAATGAAATAACGAATGTGTGAAATGAAAAAGGTGGAGGCATATATTGAGAAAAGAGATAATATCACTAATAATAATAAGTCCGGATAATATAAATGGAAAATTCGATAGTATTGGGAGAATGTTTGCATGAAGGGCATAAATTATGACGAATAACAATTATAATAATAAGCACAGAAACTAAAAAACCCAAGAGAGTTAAGGGGAAGAAGCAGTCTTGGTGAGAAGTTTTGCCACGGTAGGGACAGCGTCTGGACTTGTTCTTTTTGGCTACAAAGTTCTGGTTCAGTTAATCTTATTGCAACACCTTCAACTATGCGTAGGAGACGTAAGCGAACTGTATGTGATAACTACTTTAGAACCTGAAGAAGAGAAATTATTGAAAAGAATATACTTCGAAAACCAGGGAGTACTGGACAGCTGTTTCATCCTCCTAGTTTGGGGATCATCAGCAGTAAGTGCCCACCATCAGGGTTCGAACCCAGGACCTCCGCGTTACAAGGCAAGCTCGTATACCATCCAACCAATGGGACCCGACTCAGTGGCTAGTGCATGAATTCTAGCTTCTACCAATTCGTGATTATAATTCGTGGCTATAAAGTTACATAGACTAAGATGGCTAGGTCACGTGCTGCGCATGCCTAACCACCGCCTCCCCCGACGGGCATTGCTAGCTGATATAGGTGAAGGTTGGAAAAGAGTTGGTGGTGGCCAAACAAAAACATCGCTTCATCAATCCATGAAATCCTTGACAGTTAAACTGAGTCAGGTAGGGAGATGCAGACTTCCGGGTTGGGGCCCTCGGGACTCTAGGAATCAATGGCCGGAGACAATAGGTGACATGGCTCAAAATCGTTGTCAATGGCCAGCGCAGATGTATTCAGTCTCTGTAATCTTTCATATTCCTTTCTACCATTACCCATTCTGTTTCACTCTTATACTTGTCAGACTGTATTGATTCTCTTCACTCATCTTCTTGTCTACCTCTGTGTGCTATTTGGAACGTGGCAACTGGAACTGCTGCACTTCGGTGCCAAGTCCTATGTTGAATCCAGACAGACAGACCAATTCGTGATTTAGCGTGACTGGCACCAACCAATGTCGTCGGTGGGACATCTATCCTCACACGTGATATTTGGATGGATCTCACTGGTCACGACATCTCACCAGAACTCCAGGAGACTCTGTTCTGTAGCTAGTGGTCACTAGCGAGCATCAGATTAATTTTCTATGGTTGGTTTGTAAAGATTAGATTCGTTACCATTGAACCATTGAAAACCAGCACTGGAGTATACTGGACAGACAGCTGTTTCATCCTCCCTAGTTCAGCAATTATCGGCAGTACGCGCCTACACTGCGGCGTTCGAACCCAGGACCTTCCGGTTGCTATTTTTCATATCATATATAATTCAGTATTATTAAAATTCTATTATTAATTATAATTTTAATGATTTATATTCTATTATAGACAAGATTTAATCTTGATAAAGTCACACAGTGTTGTTGTATAGTAATATTAACTGATGATGACGTTTCGAGCACAAACTATTACTGCTCCTAATCTATGTATTTATTTATTTATTTATTTGACAAGGAATTTAATTTGGTTCAAAAGCGTGAATTGGTTCCTCTTCAACACTTGATCGATTTACTCACTGGAGATAATACATCTTCAAATGATAAAAAAATGATGAGTGAATCTGCCTCAACAGATAATAACTATTATTGTGATAATAATAATAATAATAATAACAGCGCGACTACAGGTCCGTCGAATAGCAGTTCCACAACGAATCATCGATCTTCTCAAAATGGTAATAGTAATGCTAACACAACTAAGGATAACTGAAGTTATCTTATAAATTATCAGTGCACATACACCCCCCCACACACACACACACACAGAAAGAGACATATGATCACTCACATGTTGCCTTTCAGCACTACTACTGTCGTACAGCTTGTACAACATCATCGTCGGGATAAGGTTGTTCACTGGGTGACTGACTGTCATCAATGTGTATTTGTTGTTTAATTATTTACTGCTCTGCTTGCTTCCTGCTCCGACTACTAGGTTACTCTACACACAATTCGCCTTTCTAATTTACAAAAGAAATCTTTCATTATTACACTTTAATCCATTATATATTTCATAGTGTGAGAATGATTAGGTGTGTGTGCGTGTGTGTGTCTGTTTGTGTAGGTGTATTTGCTTGGTGTGCCTTCGTGTGGGAGTGTTTATTATCGGGGGGGGGAGGGGGCTTTATTATTATACTCTTCCCCTTTATCTCTATGACTCAACAGACCTACTACTCACTCATATATTACTCTACATCCATCCAAGTGTGTGTGTGCTTCTTTTTGCATGAATGCGTGTGTGTATGTATGTATATATAGATAAATATCTAAATATATTATTACATATATATGTTGTACAATCAGGTGGTACACACCCACCCACGCACACACACACACACTTTGTTATTTATGTACAAGTTTTTGAGTATGTTGAGAGGTGGTGAATATAGGGGTCAACCAAAATCTCAAAGATTTTTTTTAATATGATCAAGAAGAAACTATGGACAATCTCTGTTGTTGAGTGAACACACAATTCATTATTTTAAAAAATGAAGTAATAATAATGATAGTACAATTTGTATTGATGCATTTCTGTTGTTGTTTTTTTCAACTCACTGTGTTCCCAGTGGAATCTAGGGTTAAAAACTCTTTTTATAAGGTGGGTTTTTTTTCTTTTCCTTCATGTTCCCAGTGGAACATAGAGCCTCAAGCTAGTGGCTTGAAGTTTCTGTAACAGTTTTTAATTTTACAGGATAGGGTTGTTAGCCAGCCTCATGCCCAACCTTTCCTCTTTACCAGTCTAATTACTGGATTGGTGAGGTAGAGGAGTGCATTGGCCGGTGATCGGACCCCACGTGCATGGTCGGCGAGCGTCCAAACCGTTGTGGGGGTTGGTAGACTCTTTTTTTCTTCGACTTACTACCGATGAGTAAACTGGCTGAGATTGTGGGGATGGGTCTGCCAGGAATGGAACTTGAACCGATTATTATTATTATCCCACTATGGGACCACCCACGCATATTCTATTTAATTCATTTTCCATGCACTAGTTGACTTCAGTTAGAGAACACTGTTTCGTCTTTGTTTGATAGTCTTTGGCAGTACACACCTATGATCCTACTCAAAAGGGTTTCGAAAACCAGGACCTTCAGGTTATATAAGGTGAAATCGGTGACCATTCAGCCACTGGGACGGAATCCGATGTTCTGTCAATTCTAAATTTTCCACCAATTCACGATATGTAAAGCGCGACCGGCAGCCCCAATGTTGTCGTCAGTGTGTGTTTAGCCCTTCTCCCAACTAGATGGACCCCTTCGATCACATCTGTCTGTCTGTCTGTTCTCCACATAGAACTTTGCACCGATGTGCAGCAGTTCAAGTCGCCCCACTTCATGTACCACACAAAGCAAGAGAAGAATGTAGAAGAAATGCATAATAGAGACAGTGAGCAGAGGTGTGAGACAAAGGAGTAGTAATAACGAAGAACAATATAGTTTCATTAGAAATCATAAGTCACAGGGAGTGGATGCATCTGCGCTAGCCAGTTAGAACGATTTTCAGCCATACCACCAATTGTTTTCAGGCATTGGTTTTAACCGTCCCGTGGACCCCAACCACTCAGGAAGTCTACACCTTCCTACGTGGCTCAAACTAACTGTTGTGGATTTCATTGACTGATGAAGTCATGTTTTGGTTTGACCGCCGCTAGCTTTTTTCCAGCCTGACCCTATGTTAGGTAACATTGCCTGTCTTCGAGGAAGGCGATGACTAGGCATACGTAACGCATGTCCTAGCCATCTCAGTCGATGTAATTTCACAGTCTCATCGATTGATTTCTCCTCCTCATCTACCTGGCACTCGATGCCTAACCTCAATACTGCTCACCTTATCATACCAATTAACACGGGAGATAGAATGCAGGCACCTATGATCAAAGACAGCTAGCTAGCCTTTTCATGTCTTTCACTCTTAATGGCCAGATCTCACAGCCATAAAGGAGGACAGAGCGGACAGCTGAGCAATACACCCGCCCTTTGGTCGATAGCTAACCGGATATCACGTCTACGCGAGAGACGGCGTAAACTGGCAAATGCGAAACTAGCCCCCTGTATCCGTGCTGAGATTTCGTCAGAGATCAACCCATTGGCGTTGGTTGATGGTACTTCCGAAATAAGTGAAGCGGTCAAGGTGTTCTACCACTTTACTCCCTATTTCTAAACTAGGAGGCAGTGTAGTCCAGTCTAGTAACATCATCTTACATTTGACAGCAGGAGCGAATCGCATGCCAAACATTCGTAGATTGCAGGTCAAGGTGTTCAGAAGACTCTGCTTTATTCTGTCAGCGTCCTCGCCTAGAAGGACTATGTCGTGTGCATATTCTAAGTCAACGAGATTATTCCTTGATGGTAACAAGTTAATCCCTCAGTCTCTAGAGTGAGTTAAGGTCACGGAAATATTTTGTTTATATGAAATGTTGTGTATAAATATTTGGTTATCCTTAAGGTGGACACAGAAAACGCGATACCACAAAAGAAGACAAACTGTTGATGTGGACAGTTTTTACTATCTCGTGTCAACCCTAGAACCCACGCCCCCCGTCATAGTGCTGATACTTGTCGTTTAGATGACCGGAGTAGATGATTATTGATTTATCAGTTAATAAGTTGGACAGTTTTCTTCCATTGTGTATGCTCTCGTCGACGCTTAACATTACTGTAGTATATTTCCTTATTTCTCGTTCAGTCTGAAGAGTCTGGGGACATACCATGTCCTCATGCTTACTTTGCTTTCATCGAAATGTGAAGACACATCACGTGACTGTCTCCCTTAAGGCTTCCACCCGCCAGCCAGATTGAGATTCCAAATAATGCCTTTCACTGAATCCGATGGAGAGAAAGTTTACATATCCGTGCCGTGAAGTTTCACTGGCGATAAGTTTATCTTTTATATTGTGGAGTTGCTCACCCAACTCCTCCCTAGTCTTTTTTCTCCTTCAGATTTAGAACAATCTAATAATAAACTAGGCCAGGCCCATTAGCAGAAAATGCAATGGAAATGACAGGTTTGGCGCCCGAGTATGACATGCGGAAGGATGATATGAAAAGGTAGTGAGAGCCTGTGAGCAGTCGTTGAGTTAGCTGAAAGCGTTGACAGATGTTAGAGTTTAGTGGAGGGGTGCGGTGCTTTGAAGCCGTATGTTAGACTGGAAAGTTGAGGAATGACTATCGCCAGTCATGTTATATTAATATTTCCTTGAGTTCCAATTGAAACAAAGGGTTTAGGCGGCATATCTTCATTTCATACGGCTTTCTGATGTTATTTTAAGTTGGCTTCACAATCGACCATATGCTCTCGTCTCCCCCATGTCATCCATCCTCAGACGCCCAAATCGCTGTTTCCTATGTGGGTGATTATAATTTACTCCATAAATTTAAATTCGTTTCATTCAATGGTATTGCCAATGCACCCGAGGCATCATATTTTCCAAACAATTATCCGTGATATGAGTGGAATCACACTTTCTTGAGGTTTAAGCAGACAGGAAGAACATCTCATTAAGTTTCAAACAATGGAAGTGATTCATATATTGACTATTTGAAATTTACGCACACTTATTGATTGCCATGAACGGTATCATGGGGATTCATTCGATTCCACAAAGGAAACTGTTCACCTAAGTAGTTGTAGTCAGAAGTTGGTTTGTTTGAACTGATTTAACCGTCTAAGCTGAGTGAAACCGGGCACATCAAGCTCACCTAAACTGAACGAAACATCAGGTTATTCTTTCATGGTGTGGAGTAAACAGCCTCGTCCTCTTTTCTCGCCTTCAGAAAGACTAGTAAGCCAGGTGGGGTTTCGCGTCAATATTAGGATGGAAATTGTTGGGTTGTGTTTAATATGTATCCACATGATGTGTGTGTTTTGTTTTTGACAGTCTATTATATTTTGCTATATGTAAATGGATCGATATTTCATTAAACTAACTAAATAAACAATGTATGACCTTGTTATCACACGACATTACAACCAATCATGGTAAGATGTCTATCTTATTGTTTCATGTGTATTAACCATTTTCATATATACTTTTGTATTAGACACTTGTACATTATTCTTGTTGACACATTTCGTACATTCGTACTATTTCACTCACACACTAGTGTGACATTTATTTTCCTTGTCTGGAAAATACAAGTATCATCGAAAACCTCGTGGTCCTCCGATTTCCCTCTATCCGCGGTGTCAGGACTATTAACTACTCGACGAGTACATAACAGTGTTTCACTTCGTAGGTGGTGACATAAAGAAGATTTTGTAGGAAGGAAGTCCTAATTTACTATTTAGAGTCACGGAGCCACTTAAAAAATAATGGAATGGAGATGTAGCGAAGAATATTCATTCAGACATCTAGAAAAGACAAAATAACTGAGCAAGGAAGAATATCCTTTTCGATAACTTCCTCTTCTGACTCTACAATTATATGCATATGTTTATATACACAGAATATTCTAGAATAGTAGTCGATACCAATATTAGTGCTTTTTAAATAATATCGATTTGTAAAGTATGATCACGATGGAATTACAGTTCATTAAAGATGCTTAAATTATAATAAGATAAAACAGCAAGTAGAATATCAAATGAAATTAGGAGAATTCCACAAAATTCAGGATCATTCAAACCTAGATGGCCAAGGTAATGATAATGTCTGCACTAACTTCTTTTGGATGCACAAATTAGGCTTGTTAATATGGATCCCAACAGCCAGCCTCAGCAATATTTAGTAGTCGAACTCTTAAGGTAACATTGAGATTCGTAGGTATGCGGTAAATGACCCTGAAAGCATGGTTAAAGTCAATATTGTGTTCTGTCTCCTCAAAATGAGACAGAATAGCGCTGCGAATATATGTTGTTTGTCCTTTACCTAACCACGAAGCAGGGTGATGCTCGGAAATTCGAGGAGAAACACGCCTAATTGTACGGCCTATGTAACTAACTGGCTCCACAGGAGCACTGAAATTGGTAGATACACACACACATAGAAGAAGCGAAATTAGTCAGTTTATCTTTTACTCCCGAACGCAAAAGAGGAGTGGTTTTGAAGACACAGCGTAATTCCGCTTCAGGGAATGCTCTTTTTCCGCGTTCCCTAGGCGCTGTGTTAATATCTCGCTGATGTTATCTTCAAGGAACTGCATTTGTAAGAATAAGGCCTTCTTTGGACCTGTTGGTACCTTGGGCTGCTTTGATTTTAGATTCATATTCTTATCAATAGACTTTTCTGGATTACCATTTTCACATAGCAATCGTTTAATATTGTTAAGTTTCTGATCAAGACATTCATCCAAGCAAATTGCTCTGTGAATCAAGCACTTTATAAGATTGCTTTTGTATTTCAAGGGTACGAAGCTGAGAAAATGAGTATACTGACAGTCAGTTAATGTAGGTTTTCTATAAAAACTTCTTTTTATTGTGCTATCCTCTTTTCTGGTCATAAGGACGTCTATAAATGAAACACTAGAGCCTTTTTCTTTCTCAGTGGTAAAATTTATTGCAGGATGAACCTCGTTAAATTGATCCAGGATGTTCTTTGCTTCCTTCTCATTTTGCATAATCAAAAAAGTATCATCCATGTAC